GAGTGAAAATTCTATGGAGAAAAAAACTACGGTTTCTGAGGACTCGGGTGAAAATGAGTTTGTTGAGAAAAAATAGCTTATCATGATTGAAATCTCCTCCAATATGGATGATGAGGAATTTGATGAGAAAGCAGAGAGCAAACATGCCCGTGGATTCACCCAAGAAAAAAATCATTGAAAATTGTGGGGTTACTGAAAAAGATGGAAGTACCGGAAAATGCTGAAAGCTTTGGAGGTAATAAAATGGTGATGTGCAAAAGAATGGCTTAGATGAGATGGTTGTTGAGTATAGTAAAAATTGCAAATCGAGGAAATTAGTTAATTCAATGCAGTAAAGGTTATTGAAAGAGGGAAATGAATAGTGATTAGTACACTGAAAATGGGGAAATAGAATTGGACGAAAACGTCCCTGTTTAAATTGGTCAAAATTTGCATTTTTTCCATTTTTTAGGTCAACTGACCCACGAACTAATGTTCTCCGTCATTTTGGAATGTCTATGCAAATTTTCAAAAGTTTGGGACATGTGGTGGTATAAAGTGAAGGTTGAGGTAAAGTCTAAAAAAAGGAAAATGTTTGGGACTGCAGCTGCAATTTTCCCTAAAAAAATAAAAATATCTAAGGTGGTTCTCCAAGAAATATATATATATATACTCTTGAGAAAATGTGCTTGCTTAATATATGGATCTTAGTAATTAATTCTCTGAGTCCTGACCTAGTACTTCGTCGAACTCCAGGCAAGAGACCATGGTTGAAAAATCATTCGATCAAACCTATGAATCAATCAAGAACCTGTCCCTATTCTAAGGTGAGAGATTAAATCCTTCTGGTTTAATTAAGACAACATCAATGGAAAGGGAAGAACAAGCTCAAGCGAAAGGGAGTGAGTTTGCAAGATGTAAATCGAACACACAAGGCCAATTTTGTCGTGCACCATCTCTACCAACTACCCTCGAATTTGAAGAATTTCAAGATGATGAGAGTGACTTTCGCATGGGCAAGTTAATTAGGCAAGCTTCTCTAATCCATTCTGACATGTTGCCTCCTAGACATACTTCTTCAAAGGTACGTATATATTGTGTTACGGGTTTTTCTTCTTTGATCTTGTCCAGTCCAACCCGATATTCTTACTATTCATTCAAGACCTAATGTTACTGTGCTTGCATTACAGGCTATGGCACAAAGTTGTAGCAAGCCAAGAAATCAACCAGGTCGAAAGAAACCAGGATTAAAAAACCTTAACATGGAGGGGCTGGAACAGATGAGAAAACAATACCCAGCTAGTCAAATTAAGAAGAGTAAAAGCTTAACTGATCTTGAGTTTGAAGAAGTTCAAGGATTCAAGGATTTGGGATTCAATCTCGACGTGGTACAAGACTTGAATCCAAGTGTAGTTAGCATACTCCCAGGTTTGAAAGAGAAGAAGCGAGTCAAATCAGCAGAAGAAAATATGAGGAGGCAATTTCTTTCTGAGGTGTGGATGGCACAAAGCTCATCATCTTCTTCAAGCGAAAGGTCAACAGAAGACATGAAGAAGCAGATCAAATTCTGGGCTAGAGCCGTGGCATCTAATGTGCGCCAGGAGTGCTGATCATAACAAAGCATGCCTTTTTCTTTGGATTCCTATCATGAGTTTACGGAGTTGATCGAATTAGATGGATATTTTATTTCAACACGATCCAAGCTAGTACACACACACACTCGCCCATTGGTTTGAAAGAGATACTCTTTGAATTTTACGATATTTTCTCATGGTAAATATAAACAAGCTCATTTAGTTGTGAATTAATCTTTTTGTACAATTGTACAACATTGTTGACAATGTTGATTGTACACCAAGTATTGTTAATTTAATAAAGATTAAAATTCAATTAAAATTGAAAATATAGTCGTTATTGGGTCACACTCGTCTAATAAAAGTTAACAATAACGATTAGTTTTTCAATTTTAATCAAAACTAAAGCAATTTTGAAGTTGCTACCCTATTGTGGAGAACGGCTTGTCAATAAACTTACTTGATTTTTTTTGGGTCAAATTCTATTGTTGATATGTCGCCCAACATTCTTAAACAATCTAAAAACTTGGCCCTATACCTTTTGGAAAATGACCCCAGGCATCGCTTATCAAGTTATTCTTGTTCAAATCAAAATTCGGACCAATCACTTCTTTGGAAGCATGATTCTTGTCTCAATCCTCCCTTTGAGGTTGTCCATTTATAAGGTGACCCCGTTCAAGTGTTTAGGCCTGTGATATCAATCACCTCTGAAATTCTTCTCATCTGTACACGACCCTTTATTAAACCTTTTTCAAGAATAAGAACTAAACAACCAAAAAAATGCTTGATATTGATCATAAAAGATCTACAAGCACAATTTTTTTTTTCATTTGTTATTATTATTATTATTTGGGGAAATGGCGAGTTTTGTTCACTCTCATTTGACTATATTTTGCGAGTTTTAATTAAAGGGAAATTGCAGTATACGGTATCGAACTTTTCACTTTTATGTGGACTTAATCCAAACCATCATTTTATGGCATCTATGGTACCAAACCTTTTAAAATTCTCACTTGCAGTCCAATATAACAAAATCTGTTGGTTGACCAAAGTCAATGAGTTGACCAAATTTTGACTAATTTTAAAATGTTAAAATAGTAAATTTACATTTTCTGTAACAAAACATTTAAAACCAAAAACGAAATATACTACATCTTCTCCACTCACCCACCAAAAATCGGGGTCCACCCATTTCTCAGCCACCGTCACTCACCCCATCGCCCACCACCTGCCGCCTCCACCACAATACTTCACATTTCATCATGAACTTCATAACCCTAAATCACAAACCAACATAAAACCCATCAAGAAACCATTTTCTTCCTATCAAACATTTTCGAGTCAATGTAATCTACAATGTGATAATGGAGCCACCACCCCCGCACAAGAACATATCAACCACGGGGCAGCATTTCACCTCTAACAAAGCAAGTAAGGAAAGGTCCACTAGTGGATCACATTGATGGAAGAACAACATTTTGTCTGTCATTGCAATTGATGGAATCACCCTAGTCACTACTTTGTGGATCGAATTACGAGGCAATTGAGCAACAACTGGATTGATTAATTGTGTACCCACAGTCGTTTGAGTATGAATATAAGTTCCCCAAGTGAATTTGTGGATTGAACAATGGGAAAACAATCAATTGGATTGGATATGAGAGCACCTATTCGGATGCAAAATCCCGAAAAATTCATTAATGTTTTGGCCCTATTTTGTTGAATTATCACCATCATATTGAGTGCCTGTAGTATAGGAGGTGGTCCGAGAGGGTGGTGTGGCCGAAAGATGGGTAGGAGTCGACCGGATGGTGAACATTGAACAATAACTTTTTAAATTTTATTTTTAGGGCTTTTCTTTAAATTCAAAATTACCATTTCACTACTTTTAAAATTGGTCAAAGTCAATTTTTTGAGTTAATTAACGGTCAAACTAACAAAAATCATCCATTTTGACTTCAAGTGCAAGTTTTTGAAATATTTAGAATCATTGATACCACAAATTAAAAGTTTGGATCAAATCTACATAAATGTGAAATGTTTGATTCCCTTAATTAAATGGACACTTATTGGGTTTCAAGACTTCACATGTTTTACAGCTTTTCCCCTTTCTTCAATTATGAATGGAATACAAACAAAAGTACGTATACAGAAAACCAGGCTGGCTGTCCACTCCACTCCTCTCTGATCTCAACTCAAACTTTTTATCATTTTGCGCCTTGCTTGAAACTCCTAAGAGACTCCGTTAGTCAAAAAAATAAAAAGTAATTTTTAAAAACAGCCAAATATCTCGTTAGGGATGCATCTATTTATAAACTTTTATTTGTAATAAAGAAAGAAATTGTTAATTTTAAAAATAGGATTCATGAGAAACATTCTGCGTTCTGTCTATCTATAAATATTTGTCCGACAAAAAGAAAAGAGAAATGATACACAAATAGAAAATCATTAGCAATACAGTAATTATAAGAAACATTGGAATTAAGAACAAAATATCACCTAACCACTGGAAAAATTAAGGAAAAAAATGTACAGACAGGAAACATAATACTACAGTTCCCAAGACCACTACACTAACCACGCTCTAAACTCTAAAGATTCCATTTTTAATTATTTTTGCCAGCTCAGAATCCCACTCCAGCCGCGCCGACGCCGAATGTGGCTCGTCTGTGAGGCTCCAGTTTCCTCATAGCATTCTTCCAGTAACAAGACTCCGGCATCAGCTTCGCCGCCGCCGTCCTCATCGGTTCCGACTTGCACCTGGTGAGCACAAACGGCTCATAGCCCACGGCATTCACCAGCTTCTTTTCAATCATCGTAGCCATCGACGCCGCAGCGGCCGCCGCCGGCAGAGAACACGACGACCGCGGTGGTTGCTGGAGCTGTTTCTGATTATTTTCGCAGGTCGAAATGGGTTTAGGCTTAGAAGAATCGGGGATGAGTTTCTTCTTCATTGATTCATGGTCACAGCCATTTCTTGTGGATTTTTTATTTGCTGGCCTCTCTGGTAGCCATCTGCGGAAATCTGTGCTGCAAACCCAGGTTTCTTTTGAGACCTCCATTGACAGTTTTGGCTCACACATCATTAGTAGTAAACATTCAGGCAATGCAGGGGTTTCAATTTCTTTATTGGGCTCTTTTGTGTCACTCCATTCTTGATTTTCTCCTTCTTTGGATTCTGATTCAATTGGTTCTTCTTCGTGAGGTTTTTCATGATGGTAGCTTGTTTCCTCTTGGGTTTCTTCTACTTTCACCATTGCAGCTTCTTCTTCATACTGTGCTGATTCTTGTGTTGATCCACTGTCTTCTTCTTCTTCATTGTCTGATTCTGCAGATGAAGATGAATTGCAGAGTGAGCTATGTTCTTCTACTTCGTCCTGTTGAATCGTGCAACCATCTTCTTTGTAGTGTTCTGTGTTTTCTTGATCTAAAAGAGCTTCGAATGAAGACATATTTGATTCAACCTCCTCTTCAATCAATTTATCCTCGTCTACCTCTACCTCTGGCTCTTGTTCAAGTTCTTGCTCTGTTTCGTTCAACAATTCCTCCATTTTGTGTAGCTCTTCCACCACTTCTTCCACATTTTCAGGCACTTCTGTCTCTGATTCTGCAGCGATATCTTGTTCATCTGATACGCCAACATTTTGTTGAGGAATTTCATCATACACTTTATCTGCAACTTCACATTCTTGTACTTCTAACTGTTCTTCAATCTCTAATTCCATCTCTTTATCATCATTTTCTCCATCGTCATCAACGTCGTCATTTTTAGAAGCAGTATCTGCATCCCAGCTAAACTTGTTAGCAAGAGCAGCCATTTTCATAGGATCAGATCTGCACCTCATTAACAAAAGAGCATTCTTGGGCGGTATACAGATACTCACCCTCCCTGCTTCTTCTCCCTCTACACATTGACCCTTCACTTCAATTTTATCATCTTTAATCTCAATATCCTCCAAAACATGCCTTCTTGAACTCCTCATTGACATCCTCTCTTTCAAATCTGTTTTCACTTCCTCCTCATCTCCACCTCCCACCACTAGCTCAATCTCCCTTCTCTTCCCTCCCTCACCATCATTTACAGACACAAGCCATCTCGCGAACACAGCACCACACGAACTCTGCTCATTGTCACATCCATTGGATGCATTCCGCTTCTCTTCCTTTCCCCTCTCGCTTGTGGAGAAACACGAAGATTTGCAAGGGAACAAGCAGCTAAATTCAGCTCCAAAAGACCTTAACGCTTCACATATTGTAACCGGCAAATGAACCCATCTCTGGTTTCTGTGCGGCAAGCAATCTTGTTGCTGCTGATTTGCGCTAACATTAGAGTACCTCTGTGCTTGAGAGCAAATTCTATCTTCATTTTGTCGCACTCTCTCAACAGCCTGATGTTGACCCTGCTCTAGTTTCCTAAAACTAATTTCTCCACTCCGCCTTCTGGAGAGGCTACGCGTTTGCTTCACCTTTTTCTTAGTCTTCACTCTTACCTGGCCAATACAGGTGACCTTAGGGGAAGAGGGCTCTGGGTTTTCAAAAGCACAGCCTTTTTTCTTCCCTGGGGTGGTGAAAAATGGTGATGCGCCACCTTTGAGGCTACCATTCGTACGCAGCTTCCGGCTGAGTGAGCTGGAGAGAGAAATCGGAGTGTCACGGGCGGCGCGGCCTGGACTTAGGATTGATTTAGAAAGTTTCATGGAGGAAGAGGAAGAAAGACGAGAGGCTAAACAAATGAAGATTTCGCTTGTATTAGCGGTGGTGGGTCTGTAATGGGGTCTGTCAAAGTCCATTTTGATTTGGACGGTATTTTTACTGAACTGAGATTTTTTTAGCCATGGTCATGGATGAATGAATGAATCGTGCAGTAAAAGTTAAGGATGCCGCTCCGCTAGTGATAAAGCTGTGTTTTTTATCTCGGAGTTGCAGTGGAAAGTACTGATTACCAAGGGTGGGGGTTAGTTCATTTTTACTGGTCAAGAGTTGTTGTCCAATTTGGATAGTTAATTTTAGGGTAACGTGTGTACATAATTTTCTTTTACCTAATTTTTTACTTACCCTCACAGTAGAGTGTGGGGATAACATTTTTTTATTCATGCGGACCCCGCGTACATGTGAGTGGGTGTAACATTTTCGGTACGAAAAATTATGTACAAATAATTTTATCCTTACTTTTAGTGGTCTAGATTTGTTGTCCTATTTTAGTGTTTGTTTGGTAGATATTTTCTCGGGCTAAAAATAAATTATTTTTTTTGAAGAATTTATATTAAAAATTAGGAAAATTATAGAATGTGTAGTTAATATTGAAGAAAAATGATTATCAAAAAATCTCTCTCGAACAAACTCTTAGAGTGCGTTTGGTTGAGAGTTTGAAATTTGCATGAAAAATAAAATAAATTCTAGATAATTCAATTGTCTATAACTTATTTGTATGAAAATTTTTAATTAAATGTGTTAGATTGATTTAATTTTCAATTTATAAAATATTATATTTGTCCATTTTTTATTGGTGAGTAGATGACAGAGAGAAAGAGATAGTGAATTCCATGAAAAATAAAATCATATTCTTCCTAAAGAAAATATTTTCCTTGATTTTGAAGAAAATGTGGTCACGTGACCAAAAGTAGGAAAATATTTTTCATGGAAAAAAGTTAATCAAACAGTACAAAAGTACGAGTTTAGGTGGAAAAAACACATTTTTCATGAAAAATATTGGGAATTAAACGCACATTTAGTGTATTTTTGGAAAAATTCATAATTGCTTATATTTTCTAGGAAAATCAATTCCCTGTACAACATTTTCTTTCCACCAATTTTCCAGCTTTGCAATCAAACGGACCCTTAGTGTTTGTTTGATAGATATTTTCTCGGGCGAAAAATAAATTATTTTTTTTTGAAGAATTTATATTAAAAATTAGGAAAATTATAGAATGTGTAGTTAAAAGTAATATTGAAGAAAAATGATTATCAAAAAATCTCTCTCGAACAAACTCTTAGAGTGCGTTTGGTTGCGAGTTTGAAATTTGCATGAAAAATAAAATAAATTCTAGGTAATTCAATTGTCTATAACTTATTTGTATGAAATTTTTTAATTAAATGTGTTTGATTGATTTAATTTTCAATTTATAAAATATTATATTTGTCCATTTTTTATTGGTGAGTAGATGGCAGAGAGAAAGACATAGTGAATTCCCTGAAAAATAAAATCCTATTCTTCCTAAAGAAAATATTTTCCTTGATTTTGAAAAAAAAATGTGGTCATGTGACCAAAAGTAAGAAAATATTTTTCATGGAAAAAAAGTCAATCAAACAGTACAAAAGTACGAATTTAGGTGAAAAAACACATTTTTCATAAAAAATATTGACAATTAAATGCACCTTTAGTGTATTTTTGGAAAAATTCATAATTGCTTATAAATTGATTAAACCTGAGCATTTGTTGGGAAGTGTTTATAAATTAAATTAACATAAGCCAACCATGTGTTCTATTTTTATTCACACTTACGTATGACCACAAGTGTTACTTACTTTTAATTATTTATATTTTTACACACATTTTAAGACCTCGACTTATAATTTAATAAAAGTTTTGTCAAACATGCACTTAACTGTCTCATAGACCATGTTCTAAATGTGTGCAAACGAGCCGCCTAGGTGCGATGCGCGGAGAAATAGCGTCGAATTCGGGGTATGTGCGGAAAAATGCGTTTTTGTTCTAAAAGGCGGCGCGCCTAATCCCGCCTAATGCGCCGCCTAATTTTATTTTATTTTTTTTGATAAAAAATTTATTTATTTTTATATAAAATATATTTAATACCTTAAAAATACGAAGCGGATTATGGCGCTTATTCTTCGCATTGACGGGCTTAAACTTATGATTCTTGATTCTCGATTTCGACGCATCGCAACCTATTACACATTTTAGAACATTGCTCATAGACTATCTTCATTAGAAAATTTGGCAGATCGTCATATCAATTTTGTCAACAAATAAGAAGTCACATTTCAAACATGCACTTAACTTTGTGTTGACGTTTTGATATTTGTTAATCACAACTGATAGATCAAATAGAGTTAATTATTGTCTCGAATTTGTTGTTCTATTATATTTTTGACAAATAAACATGTTCTATCGTTTTAGTAAATCTAAAAATGTTAACACATTTTTTGGTACTTCAACATATATATTATATCTTAATGCCTTCATATTTACCAAGGAAAGGTTATGTATCAAAAGTCTCAAAAATGTATGAACGTCTCAACAGACCTGTGATATTTTATTTGTCCTTAGTTAAATGTGGGATGAATCTTGCTATATGTATATCAAGATTTACATAACAGATTACATAATGCCACATGAAACTCTATCATTTTCCAGTTTAAAACACAATCACATTTTTTAATCCAATTTTTTCCCACATAATTTTCGGTAACAACTTATGTATCATTTAAAATTTACTTACGATAATGCTTGGGGGAAATTTTATTGGAGGTCATCGGATTTTAGAGATTATTTTCACGTTGGTCACTTAACTTTATATATTGTATTATGATTAGCTAATTTTCAAATTTTATAGTTTAACCATTTTGTTTATGACTCCTGATTCTTTCAATTTGTTCGGTAAATAAATTATTAATTTTGCAGTAAACAAACATGTGTTAGCCTACACATTACGTCAGAGTGGCTATTATTTCTAGTCACGAATCTTAGAATGATGAAACAAAACTAAAAATATAAATTGGAGGATTAAATTAAGTTAAGTGATTAATCTAACATAAATTAGTAAATTGTAATGACCTCTAATGAAAATTTACCATCATACTTAGGTTGGACAAATTACAGGTCCTTCGTCTTCCCCGAGAAAGTCATTTTCTTGATTTTCACAATTTTGTCAAATTCACTGTACAAAGTGAAAAAAAAAATTACCTCAATAAATATCAATTGACCTTTTCATGATTACCCCCCCTAACCTTTTTCACATGTTTAGCACCTAATGAACTATACAGTACATTTTAAGGAATTAACTTCTGCTAGATTCATGCACGCAAGATCATTCTAGTCGGATAATTAGAATGAAGTTTGACACCATGGGACAAGGCATCGTTAAATTCGCATGTGTCATTATTTAGTGGAAAAAATATATGACATCCAAATTTACGAATCATAATCATTTACGGCTTGAACGTATAAACTATCGTACAATCAATCTAAAATCTTCTTCAGGATTTACTATTGAATATTTGTCGAGTTATACTGAGTAAGACATCTTAAGTAGTATGTTCCAAAATGGTATCAGAATCGATGATCACGATTTACGTGAGACACATGATGCTAAACAGTGCACTAATCAAGATGATTAATGACAAGATAATGAAGATTAATACACAATTATTCTGTTTAAATCAGATTGTGACTGAACGTGGCCAGATCAGGATGTGACTATGAACATGAATTTATACGGATTGTGCTATGTGTACACAATGGAGTATACAAAGTTTTACACCCCACTCAAATGAAGGGGAGACCGCACACAATAAAATATTTGTGGATCCCCTTTCATGTGAGGAGGGTGTAAAACTTTGTGTACATCAACGTCAGAGCCCTTTTTAAGGTTAAATGACAAACAGTGGCATTTTTGATGTTTTTAGTAAATTCCAGGTCTAATGTTGACGAAAGTCACCTGGGATGGGATGGGATGGGAGGTCATAGTTTCTTTTTTTGCATAGGATTCGAGTTCAACACAGTTCGGCTTTGATAATTACATTGATTAGAGTTAACACTGAAGGACTTAATCGTAATATTAGTAGTCTTGGTCAAAACTCTTGAAGATGAAGATTTGACCAACTTTTACTACAAAAGCCACGTTGAGGTGCAGCATGGAAAACTTTACTTAAAAGTTGCGAGAAACACACACAGTGATATTAATTTATTTGTTGAAAGCTATAAAAAATTAAAAATTCTGGGAAAGAATAAATTTTTTGTACCGTGGATGGTTGGGAACAAAATTAAAATTAAAAAAAAATTAATTAATTAACCCGAACACTATAATACTAAAGCAAACAATTTTTTATTCTGTATTCTGCCATGAAAAAGGTACTCAAACGCATTCTTTTTTTTTTTTTTTAATTTTTTAGGAATACTGGTGTGCATTCCTCAATTTTTCACTGCACGAATATATCAATATACATTCATGCCTTGCTAGAGATACCAAAATAAATTATAATTTAAACATCAATAATTACAAAATTCAGACTGCTCTAAGAACTTACAGATCGATATTTTGATCTTTAGAAGGTCTCAGCAATTCATCTCCCCCTTCTTTATTTTATTCTGCATCCAAGGACCGTGAGCCATAGCCACCACCCACCCTCCATGTAGAAATTAAGGCTCACCAATTTACAGGTCGAGCTTATTGCACCGGTTCATGGTCAGTAGGTTTGAGCTCATCAAAATCCAACACAACTTTACCTTGAATCAGCCTCTTATCCTTGGCCTCGTGAGCTTCTCGAACTTGTGTAATTGGAAATGTTTTCTCCACCGGGATTTTCAGCTTTCCAGCCTTGGCTAGACGGCCGATCTCATCTAAGCCTTCAGCATCAGCCCTCATGTAAGTCCACCAATATTCTGTACCATGTCATAAGTAGGCATTGATCAGATGATATTGAAGATATCATAACTCCCATCCAGTATTTCCTAGCGTTCCGTAAGAACATAAAAACATGCAACAATATCTTTTCAGTTGATCTGACCAAAACGAGCAAAAGCTATTCCAAATCGACAATATATCCAATT